TCTTGGCACATGAGGTAAATTATCTCTTTCTTCAAATGCATGGGCAACCACCTTCAACACTAACATATCTTACATAATTTATTTATTTATTTTGATTGATTGCTTTGTGCATTGTCTCTCTCTTTTTTATAACATGAATGTGCCCCAGCTCTTTGCCAAAAAATCTCTACGCTAAATCAATAAACAAATAACGAGAAATAAATTAAATACGAATAGAAATAAATACAATACATCTAGAAATACAAATTTAAATATGAAACCTTTAAAGGTGAATTAAATATGATAACTCTAGATAGATAAAACATTAATAAAATATGAACATAAATAAATAATTAGTTCAATAAATTAATTTAATAAAAAAGAACAAATAAGAAATGAGTAGACCAGGCCTCTTATCTTTACCAACGTAAGCAGCACCATAGATTATAATGAACAAATACTCAGATAGGACATATCCTCAATATTTATATATTTTTGATAAAATAATAAAAATCCATAATATAAAGGTTTAAAAAAATGGATCGGTGACTCAAATCAGTCACACCCATACCCATATCTGATCAAAGAATCGATGGATTGAATCAGAGAATTGGCTGAATCAGTAATTTTTGTCTCAAAGTTTTTTTAAAAAATCATTATAAATTTCTAAAAATAATGTTATTTTAGTTTCTAAAAGAAATTAGGAGTGGTGCATTAAGTACTTTTATTAATTTGTAAAAATAGGTGAATACTGAGACGTTGTTTTCATGTCTCGATGTCTATTAATAATAATATCGTATTATAATATTACATCAAAATAAGTTAAAAATATTAGAAAAACTTCGACATTATCATATTAAAAATAATAATTTCCCATATAAAGTGAAATTACTATCACATAAAAGCATCAAATATTTATTACTTCGCTTTACTCATCCAAAATTATCATAACCTAACTAACTATAATATTATAGAAAAAAGAGGGAGTAGGTCCACTAGCTCACAACTACATACGTGCCCTACGGCCAAGATTCAATATGTGATGATCTAACTACGACGATGATGTTTTATATTTTAACTTTAATTTTTTCTACAAATCCAAATCACATAAAATTTTAGACATTTATTCTTCTCATCAAGTAGCACCTAATAAAATTATATAAAAAAAATCCGTAATAAAAAAATTGACCAAAATACCCTTATCAAATTTTTGGGTATTTTGGTCAATTTATTTCTTATAAATAATTTTTTATATATTTTATTAAATTATCCTATTTTTGAACAACACACGTCTAAAATTTTAAGTGATTTGGATTTGTATTAGAAAAATTAAAATTAAAATACGAAACAGGACCATGGCCATTAGATCGTCCCAGATTGAATCTGAGCCGTTGGGCTCATATGTAGCTCTGAGCTAATGGGCCTATGCCAAGTTTTTCCTATATATACTAAAATTGGAATTGTTGGTCTATATTTTATAATTATTTTACTACACAAATAAGAACAAATATAAAATATAACGTACATAAATGAATAAATAAAATACAATATTTATAATTTTATAATAAAGGTGATTAAAAAATGCTTCCGTATCGTATGAGTAAAAACAAAAATAAAAAGAGAAAATCTCTCCATATACCTTATTTTCAACTTTCATTTCTTCCTAAACACAAAATTTCAAAACCTATCGGCTAACCCCCCAAATAACTTTATCTATTTTTATTCCAACCTTTAACCCAAACAAATTAAAAAAGATATTTTTTTCTAACTCTCTTTTCTCACATGTTTCAATCTCTCTCCTCACATAGTTCTCTCTCTAAACTCTTCCTCTCTCTTTCTGCAACCCATTTCTTTCCAGCTCAACAATGGTAGAAGCCGGGAGATTGTAGAGAAAATGGGCCACCTCGTGTCGTCAAGCTCATGCTGGAGCTCTACTTCATCGTCACCATCTTATTCACCATGGCAGTATCAGAGGCATATATGGCTTCTCCTTCACCTTCTTCTGGTTCATTTAAAGACGCTATTCCAAAAAAAAAAAAAAACTTAACGAATTTTGGGGAGGCCATATGAGGTTTCAGTGGGGAAGAAGAGAAAATGGCAAAATCTCTCTCTCTCTCTCTCTTTCTCTCTCTCCTGTAGTAGCAGCCATCTGCGGTTTTAGTGGCCTTTTCGTATACAATTATAGATGAGAGGACAAACCGTAATCCTAACCCTAACAGGCAGCATGCAGTGGCTGCTTGGGCTGCGTTTCCAAGCCATAGAATCATGTATGACGAGACATTGAAACTGGTTGATGATCAAGAAATTATAGTGAAGAGGTTGAAGGTGAAGCAGATAAAGGATGGGAAGATTAAAGGCAAAACTTTTGGTGATGGCTTCTCATATCCTGGTTGGTCTCAAGAACTTGGCTCTGAAAAAAAGATGGAGGGTATGGGGAAAATGGAAAAGAGAGCGATAAAGGGTTGGGGGAGATGAGAGTGAGAGAGGGATTTGGGAGGTTGTTAGGAGAAGAGAGAAAGGGAATCTTGTCAAGAGAGAGGAGTTTAGAAAACAATGTTTATTCTAAATTTGTTTGGGCAAAAAATATTAGTAAAAAATGAATAAAATATGTTTAGGGGGTTAGGAGATATGATAAAGTGAATTTCTATATAGTGAGATAGGTTTTGCAACCTTAAGTCAATAGAGAAATGAAAATTGAAAATAGAGTCTATAGAGTTATTTTTCTAAATAAAAAAGCCCATAAATTTTAATTTTATGATATTAAAACAAATTTAAAAGAATATTTTTACCTATGAAAAATAAAGATATCAAAGTTTAAAAAAAGAATAAAAAATTACTTCTCGGCAATACACACAACAACTGCAAAAGATAAAATAAAATATGTGGTAACAAATCCTACCTCATTGTTTCCATATTAGTCATTTCATTGTTTCCATATTAGTCATTTAATTAATTTAAGTGGTGACAAATTTAATTACATACACACCATCTACATAAATAATAATTATAAGATGGAATTTATGTGCATATGGTAACAAAGTCAATCAACATACCATGTGCTATGTTAACAAATTTTATTACCCTAATATTAGCTAACAAATTTAATTGTGTCACTTAATTAATTTGCGATATGGGAGGCAATTGCTTGCCTTAAAGCCTAAACGTCCTCTCTCTTTGCTCCCCACATAACGTAATCAGGTAAATGGGGAATTGTCCCACATCGCTGATTTAAGCGAATAACAGGCACATAGCATTAGTGTACCCAACAAACGGCGTCCAACGTTAGGCCATTGGTTGCATTATATACAAAGAGTCATTTTAGCAGCTCAAAAGCCCAAACAAAAAAAAAAATAATAATAATAATAATTTTTTTTGTATAAAAATCTTCAAAGCGATCATCCCGATATGAAGATAGAATCATTTTAGCATCTCAAAAGTCTAAAAAAAAAGATATTATTTTTTTTTTTTTAAAAAAATCCTCAAATTGATCATCCCGATATCAAGATGCATGAACATGAGAAAAAAATGAATTTCAAGTTTTGTAAATAGTGCATCTTTATGATAACATTACAATATAAATTGACAGTCCAAAAATCCATTACAATTTATGCTATTTCCAAAACTTGAATCTATTTTTTTTTCTCATGTCCGTGTATCATGATGTCGAGATGATCAATTTGAAGATATTTAAGCATCAAAACAACCTATTCTAGTGACATATTTTAGGTGGGCTCTAATTTTAAAAATCTTCAAAGTGATAATCCTGATATCAAGATAGAATCATTTTAGCATCTCAAAAGTCTAAACAAAAGGGTTTTAAATTTTATTTTATTTTTAAAAAAATCTTCAAATTGATCACCCCGATATCAACATGTATGAAGATGAGAAACAAATGAATTTCAAGTTTTGTAAATAGTGCATCTTTATGATAACATTAAAATATAAATTGACAGTCCAAAAATCCGTTACAATTTATGCTATCTCCAAAACTTGAAATCTATTTTTTTGTTCTCATGTCCGAGTTTCGTGATGTCGAGATGAACAATTTGAGGATATTTAAGCATCAAAACAACTTATTATAGTGAAATATTTTAGGTGGGCTCTAATTTGGTTTTTTAGAGCCTTGGCTCTGTATAAACTTTTTTTTCTTTTTTTTTAAGGGAAAAGTTTGTGTAGAACCGAGGCTCTAAACAATCAAATTTGAGCCCACCTCAAAAATTTCACTAGAAGAGGCTGTTTTGATGTTCAAATATCTTTAAATTGATCATCTTGACATCAAGTTCATGGACATGAAAAAAAAAACGGATTTCAAGTTTGGGGAAATAATCTATTTTGTAATGCATATTTTGACGATCAATTTTCAAGATTTATAGTTTTCATAGATATGTCAATCTACACTATTTTGGAAGCTTTAAACTTTATAAATAACCATGCAAATATATTTTAAAAGCATCACAAAGATTTCCAGTGTTAAAACCACATTTCTCGACACAATTTGAAGGTAGGCTCTAATTTGATTGTTTAGAGCCTAGGCTCTATACAACGGCAGCCTTTTTTTAAACATTAGTTTTTTTTTTTTTAATTTGCTCATTTACTTTTGGGTGAGGTTTGTGTAAAGTGTTAACCTTATACTATTGAAGTAAGGTACACCTCAAAATTATACTGAATATGAAGTTTTGGTGCCGTAAAGCCTTACGATGACATGGAAAGTTGCCCCAATTTATAAAATTTAAAGTTCCATAAATTGTGATGGATAATTTAGATCACCGATTAACTAATTTCAAGATTAAAAATTTATTTTTTTTGTCTATAAATCTCGAGGTCGAGATAATCAATTTGAGTGATTTCCAACCTAAGACAACCATCTCTAGTGGTTTTTTCACCTTACTAGTATAGTATAAGGTTTACACCGTATATAAACTTTTTTTTTTTTGAACTTTTTATGAAAGAACCCAAGGTGACGTTGGGCCCGGTTGAGTATTACCTGGCTCAACCACCACCATTTCTCACATTTATTTCTTTATATTCTTTCTATCGCCACCATTTCCTCCCTCCTTCCCTTGCCGCCCACCTTCACCTGCCTTTTTCCCATTGCCTTTTTCATCAGTTCTTTTTTTTTCTTTAATCTAAAACCTTCAAGGTTTCAGCAATCCTTTTAGAGCGAGAAAACGCGAAGAAGAGAGAGAAACCCTAGGGTTTGAAAACCAGATATTGGTGCCCAAAATGGGGGGTGGCAATGGCCAGAAAGCCAAGATGGCCCGGGAAAAGAACCTGGAGAAGCAAAAGGCCTCCAAAGGTTTCATACAATTTACACGATTACTCCCTCTCTCTCTCTTCTTCAATATCTTCTTCTGGCCTTGAATTTTCGTGCTTATTTTCTTCTGTTATTCTTTTGTGATCCATTGATTCATAGGTAGCCAACTGGAGTCCAACAAGAAGGCCATGAGTATCCAGGTATTATTCTGCACAATCCCTGTTTCTTACCAGTTTTTAAAATTTTGAGATTTATGTGGTTCTTTTGTTTAGGGTTTGTTTGTGGGTTATCTTCCCTTAACCTAGTTACAGTATGCATGATATGATCTGGGGTGTTATTGGACTTTGGTCTTTTTTTTTAATTTTTTTGAGTGAAATTGCACTCGAGATCTTGAGACTCCATATGGAAAGAGGATTGAGGTAGATTTTTATGAAATAATTCAATCAGGACTGGACCTTTTGGTTTTGGGGTGATCTGAATGTAATTTCTACTTTGGAGATCCTATGTCTTACCTCAGTCTCCTCGTTTTTCTTCTTGATGTGATTGGGATTCCAAGAATCAGTGAACATAACCATGGGAACCAGCTGAGTCTCGCTGGTTCGAAATATTTTATTATTATGGTTATTTTAGGGCTCAGCCGAGTCTGGACTTGCTCTGGATCCTAGCGGTACCCGACCATGGTGCTTGTTTAAAATCATTGCCAAGAGTCTTTATTTCTGGTAGTTGCATGAAAAAATTATTCAGTAATCATACTTTTCACGCATATCATTTGATTTATAACTGCTTTTTATAGTTTCAGTATGGCAGTATTTGCATCAATTTTCATATATATGGCACTGTGCTCGTGCATAATTATCGTACCAAGTTTCATGATTGTATTTCTTTTCATATTGGTTTGTATAATAAGAGTATGGTATTATTGGATGATGCTTTCCTAAAATTTTGTTGCTAAATTATGATATTGCACTGATTGATTTGGAGCAATTTTTCCATTTAATAGTGTTACTTCGAAATCTATTAAATGATAGTATTGGTATTATTTTTTATATGTGGCACTAGGCTAATGCATAATTATCATGCCAAGCTTCATGATCTCATTATTTTCGTATTGGTTTCTATGATAAGATATGATATTATTGGATGATATTTATTCATATATTTTCCCAGGTAAATTTATGACATTGCACTGATTGTTTTGGATCTGTTTTTTCCATTCATTACTGGTATTTTTAAGTCTATTTCCTAGTCTAATGCAATTCCATAATTACTTTGAAATTAATCTTGTTTGTAAAATACATTTCCCAATACTTAGTTGGAGATTATGTTACTCAGTACTTGTCTCTTACTATTGCTTGACTATGTGATACAATGTGCAGATTGTGCTAATTTTATACTAACATACTCTTTGGGTACACATGTAAAATATTTGTTGCTGCACCCACACATGGATTCTTAAGTTAGAACTATGATGGGAAGATGCTACAGTTTGCTAACTTCGTTCCTCTGGTTGTATTTATTAATGGATTGACACCTACGTTCTCTTTGATTGTGGCTATTGATGGCCATTTGCTGAAAACAATTTCTTAGAACTTGGGGGAGTTGACTAACTTGTCTATGCAAGGTGCCTTGCCCGAGTTCTCCTGTCCCCCCCCTCCCCCCCCCAAAAAAAAGAAAAATGTAAAAGAAAATCCCAAAAAAAGAAATAAAAAAAAACTTTGGGGTATACATTAGTCATCTATAATTAATTATAATGGATTTAGTCTTTTACTAAATCATAATTGAATTATAATTACTATAGTCTTCTACATAGCTTTTAATGCTTTAAATTTTAAATTATTTTTATGTTTTTTTTCTTTTTTTTCATTTTTCTGAGTTTTTTTGCCCTTTTTTTTAAAACTTTCTGAGAAGTTTTTTCCTCGCATACATTTTCTGTTATTTTTCAATTTTTCCTTATTTTAAAGGTTTTCATTAGTTTTTCCTCTTTTTTGGGGGGTTTTTGCTATATTTGTCCTGCTCGGCATCTGCATGGGCTCGGGCTCGGGCTCGGTCTCGGGCTCAGGCTCAGCCTAGCTGGGGCTAAGTTCCCTGGCCAGGCCAAGTACTAAAACACTGGCTGAAAAAATAAAGCTCGTGTTGCAGTTCCACCTTATGCATCAGTTTGATTTTTTATCCTATGGAATCAGTCAGATTTGATTTGAGCTTATAGATGTCATATTGGTTACCTGAGATATCTCTATCGGCGAAACGAAGAAATGTTTTTGTGCTTAGCTTTTTGATTAGATAATTGAATTGGTTTGCTGAACTCCTTTTTGCATCTTACAGTTTTGTGCTCATAGTTGATTCTTCTCCATTGTGTCTTCATGTTTTTGTCTTGCATTTGTTAAGTGGTTCTTAGTAATCTGGATGGGATTTTCTACACGTCAAAGCAGAAGTGCATGGAGAGGGAAGATTAGCAGTAGGAAAGGAACATTAGTGATGATTTTTATGCAAAACAGTAATTAATTGATGCCCCTTGTTACTTATGATTTCAATGTGTGACTCATTCCTGTTTTTGTTTTTTAATGTTCCTAATTCCCAAACTTATTGATTTCCACAATATCTAAAAACCAGAGCATCCCACGTTCCTTATATATGACTGGCTGTAACTAACACATATTAGGAATGCACAGCATGATCTGTTATGACAATAGATAAAATTTGAGATTTGTCAACAATTAAATAATAGAAGATAATAATGTTAACCTACTCAAAAAAAAAAAAAAGAGTCAGCTTAGTAAGTTAAACTATGTATGAGAAACATGCGGTTTGGTGTTGATGGGAGATGGCAAACGCTAACAAGGGGTACTTTAGTATTGAAGGTGTTATTGCCAAGCTGTTTGGTTTTCTTCATGTTGCTGGGAAAGATGTCATATTGTTATTTAGAACGAGTGATTAGAAAGGTGGAATCAGTGGGGACTTGCTAGGGTTCCAATCCCAACTCACCTGGTCCAACTGGGGTGAGTTTGAGTCAGAGTAGGGAATTTTTAATGCGAAACTGATGCAGGGAGAAAATAAAACCAGAAAAATAATAAATAAAATTAATAAACAAAACTACTAAAGAGATAACCCATTTAAAAAATAATGAATAAAATTGAATTATCTTTCTGAATTTTCATTTGCGTCAGAAACTTAAAAAATATTAAAATTAGGGGGATAGGCAAAAGTCCACCGGGCGACTCCGGTGTCACTCGAGCTGGCTCGGATTAGAACAAGGTAATTTTGCAATGAAAAATGTTGGAATCGTCCTAGTCTCTCTCTCTCTTAAATTTTGTTTTAATTTCTTTGTTAAAAGTTCCCCCCCAACTCAGACTAGGTGACTCATGATTGGGACCCTAGCGAGTCTGTAGCTAATTTCCATCTTTTTAATTACTGATTTAGAATGCGAAAATAAGTTAGTATTCCCTTAAGGAGTCTAAAATGTGTAGGATGTGCTTGTTTGGGACACCAATTGTTAGTTGGTATTCCCCTTGGGAACCCACAAATGTCTTTTTTTAGAATGTGGCAAACTTGCCCACATTCAGCAAATAGTTGAGAACATCTTTAGACTCTTGGATAAGCATTTATTTCCTCTATTATTAAATCTCTCCACACTCACCTGTTGGAACTAATAGACCCCTTAGAATTGAGAAGCTGTTTCCCCATTTCACTAAAGGAGTCTATAGTATGCTTATGTGAATCTATTCACAGTTCTTCGTTCATGTATATAGCAAACAAAGCAGAATAGTCTATCATGTTTGGTTGCATCCTAAATCCATGTTATGACACTGATTTTCTTGAATTTACCATTTTCTCAGTATCAAATATGGACATGGCAGTTATTTTAAAGTGTCTACATGTACAACCATATCTCCAGTATGACAAGTAACCCTAGCCTGTTCTCCTTCACCTTCCCATCACAAGATGGATGTAGGTATTGTTAGGATATGGATATCTCGGGTTCATATTGATATACATCATTATGGATGTATGGGTATATATCTTTTGATAAGATTAGGTATCTAGTTACTTGGTCATCAAGTTAGTTTGGTGATACGGCCTCGTACTGTTTATCTCTATCTCCAAGAATCATACCATTTATAATTGTGTGATTGTCCTTTATATATAGAGGTACTTATTGATATAAACATTCATTCAAAATAGTGAAGATGTAGCCAGTTGGGCTTTGGATCTGTGGACGTAAGGCTTCCGCCTGAACCACGTAAATGTTGTGTTGTCTCTTCTTCTCTCCCCATGGCATGTATGCTCCCACAAATTCTAATATAGTATCAGAGTGAAGTATTTTTCTCTTAATGTAATAGGGATTAGTTTTTTTTTTTCCTGATAGCTCAGTGGGGAAAGATCCCTTTACCCTGGCGATAGTAGGACTCGAGCCTGGGATCCAGGTACCGCGAATTATATCGCTTGACGTGCCGGCCAGTTTATAGCTAGGCTTCTTGGCTATATAGTGAAGAAAGCTCAGGGAGTTGAGAATCAATCAGAGGATCACGCTCCAAATATGAGGAATCTCTCCACAACCCCAGTGAATAATCAGCACCAACTCCAACTTCTGAAGCAGGCCACAACTTGTGTTCTATCAACCCAACTCTCTGGGGCACGTTATTTAACAGTTGAAGCAGTGACGCTCTTTTCAAAAAGTGAAATGACATTGATCAACCAGAAACTTGCGGAGGTGTCCCACAACTGCTTCAAGAGCTTTGAGAACCTTTGGTAACTCTCCTTGGATTTCTGCAATTCACAAACAGGCCTTCGATCATACCCTAGGCTTTCTTTACTGTATAGGCAAGAAGCCTAGGTATAAACTGGCCGGCACGTCGGGCAATATAATTTGTGGTGCCTGGATCCTAGGCTCGAGTCCTACCAACGCCATGGTAAAGGAATCTTTCCCCACTGAGTTATAAAAAAAAAAAAACTAATCTCTATTACATTAGGGAAACAATACTTCGCTATGATACCATGTTAGAATTCGTGGGAGCATACATGCAATGGGGAGAGAAGAAGAGAGAACACAACATTTACGTGGTTTAGGCTGAAGCCTTACGTCCACGGATCCAAAGCCCAACTGGCTACATCTTCAATATTTTGGATGAATGTTTACATCTATAAGTACCTCTATATATAGAAGACAATTACAAGAGATAAATATGATATGATTCTTGGATATAGAGTTAAATAGTAGTAGGCTTTATCACCAAACTAACATGATGACCAAGTAACTAGATACCTAATCTTATCAAGAGATATATATCTATACATCCATAATGATGTATATCAATATGAACCCGAGATATCCATATCCTAACAGGTATCGATGGTTAAAATGAAAAGGAAGATGGATATTGGCTTTTGATGTTGGTATGCATGTCTGTTATGTGATCCAATGATATTCTTCAAAGCAGTTGTTGTTATATGGGGAATTTAACCCCCAGAAGTAGGAATTTTCTCAGGCCAGTGGTTCCACTCGCTCTCTCTCCACTCTGAAATTGATTCAAGAAAACTAATATGCAAATGTTACATATTTCAGGCTCTTGGATATTTGTTAATAGACTGCTCTCATGAGTCATGGGTTAAAATCGTTTCCAATAGTTGTTTAGTCCAAGAGGTAGCCTATGATTTGAAACGGTATACCAGTAAAATTCAAGATCTTGAAATACATAGTATTTGCATATTAGCGTCACCTTTGAGCCAAATTCGCAAGAGCTGGGAGCGGAAATGGAACTGCGCTCTGGGGAAGAATCTTGTTTCTTTGTATGCAATTCTTGATGGGTAAATGCCCAGATCAGTGCAAGCCTGATTGTACTACCTGTTGAGCCTGTGAAAGAGGAATTGAGTTGTTACTTGCATTCCCATATTATTGGGATGGAAGATCATAGATTCCCATGAGGTTAAGGGGTCTCTCTTTCCAATCGCCATGGAATGGCGGATGGATGTTGTGTGACACTCCATCCCCTAGTTTGTTAGCCATTGCCATGTTAGACACCATGTTCTGTTTCTTTGGTGATTGTTGCCAGTTGGTCCTCATTGTGGGCTTTGAGCACCTCATGACAATGAAAGACTGACAAGAACGGAAACAAAATGTTAGTCAAGAGAAAAATCATAAAAAGAAACATTTGGGTAATACAGAACACCATGATGAGAGAGAGAGAGAGAGAGAGAGAGAGAGAGAGAGAGAGAGAGAGACTTTGTGGGCCATAATATCGTGATAATGTGGTAGTTGTCTAAAGTCTCTCAAGAGTAAGAGCAAACCTATTGTTTGTTGCATTAAAACAGAGCTATTGATTGATAAGCTTGTCAATCTGATTGCTGTTTCGTAATATTTCCTTATCATTTTTTAAATTTTTTTGAGATTATAGCTAAAGGATGAGTAATTTTTGGAGTGATTTTTTTGGAGATGACTATTTATGAACGCAACCTCTGTACACGAAAGAACTGGTGATTTCATTAAAAGTTGTAAATAAAAGATGAAACAAAAAGCAGGGCTATTTTCTCTTGTTTACCAGACTCAAGGAGATTGGCAACAATAACAGGCTTGATTAGTTTTATAGGTTCTCTCTAGTTGGCACAAGAATGGTGGAAAGTTGGAAAATACATTCTGCGGTTGTTAAACCAAATTTAAGGTCAAGAATTCAACGATGCAGACTTCAGATAGTCATTTTCTGAATTAATAGGTCATCAATGGAGGATTGACCATTCTAAGAAGGCTTCTGCTGCTTCTGCTTCTTTCTCTCTCTGCGCGATTGCTTCATGTGTGTGAGAGTGTCTTTGTGTGCTTGTGTTATGGTTGTGAAAACAATCTTATAAGGTTCTTATTTTTGTTTATTTGGTCATGGATGCAGTGCAAAGTGTGCATGCAGACCTTCATCTGCACAACCTCTGAGGTTAAGTGTAGGGAACATGCTGAAGCAAAGCATCCAAAGTCTGATGTTTACCAGTGCTTCCCTCATCTGAAGAAATGAAAGCGTCTAAGAACTCCGGGAAACTGGATTTTAAGTTTGAGGTTTAAGAGATAATAGATCACTCCAGTAATACTTCAAACTTTAAATTGATGGCTGCTACATACATGCTGTGAATTGAATTTGGTTTGGAGTCATTTTTAGTATGATATGGTGAACTTTGCTAAAATGCGGATATTTGTTGATATGATATATGGTTCTGTCCTTTTTGTGCTCAACTGTTTTCTGAACTTGGGCTTGTTCTAATTTTGAGGAATCAAGAGACCGCACCTTAGATGTCTATCCTTGTGGTTCTTTTGGTTCCTTGCTTAATTGTGGTTGGGGTCGTTTCTGAAATAGACGAGTACCGTATTTTGATCATATGATCACGATAAGGATCAATGGTGTGGTTCATATGGAACATGGATTCGTCTGCGCATACCATTTGTTCTCCCTCTTATCACAGTTGAACCTGTCCATATGACGACTGATTCTATGATCTTACGGATCAGGGTATATATCCTTTGGCTGATATTTATGGATCAGAGCATCCGTTCGCTTTCAAGTTTTACTTTTCTTCTTTTACTTGTTTCTTTTGACATTTTTTCATTTGGACCCTATCTGACGTATCTTAGTCTCCCATAAATTTATGTCATTATATAAATCATTATAAAATACTATTTAATAATAATACTTTGTTACAAAAATATGGTTATAATTTAATCTAACAACACAACTATAGCAATCTATACTGTTAAGTACAATTATATAGTTAGAATATTACTATGAATACAATTATTTATAATTATTTTATTAACAATAGCTAAGAATTTAATTGATGTGTGCATGTCTAATTATATAATTAAAATAGTCAATAATTTCTTTTTAATCACCTTGTGTTTTACTCGGCCTTAAGATCTAGTCATTTATACGTTTCTTTATTATCTTTTAAGAAACAAAAAGGAAAAAATAAAAAAATTGGCATATAAAATCCTTTTATTGTAAGGGCAAGCTTTCTATACTTCTCAAATTATATGTTTCATTCTATTCAACTTGCCATTCTAAATGGATGGTTGAGATGACTCCAATGACAATATCATGCCTCTACACTATTTTACTTTTAATTTTTTCTACAAAATATTTTGACACCAAATTTTGGGCATCCACTCCTCTATTAAACTTGCATTTGTAAAACATATAAAAAAAATATTCTTAATAAAATAAAATGATTAAAATACCCTTAAAAGCTTCAAAGTTATTTTGGTTATTATATTTTATTGAAATTTTTTTTTTGATATTTATTTTAGGTGCACCCTATTGAGAAGATGGTACATACTAAATTTCATATTCATACAATTTGTATAAAAATAACTAAAATTAAAATACTTTGGTGCGTCAAATATAGATTAAATGGTGTGTAGCTCATTTGATAAACTGGATTGCTAGATGGAGGGGATTAACTATATATTTTTTATGCTGTAGGGGAAGTATAGGAACCTTTCACTTATTATAATATGATGATATGATGATATTATGTAATTATGGCAATAATATATTTTGTTATAATGTTTAATATTAGGAAAAAGTTTATATAAGGGTGAGGTTCTAAACAATCACTTTAGGGTGCACCTCAAAAACTCACTAAAAGAGGTTGTTTTGAAGTCCAAAAATCCTCAAATTGGTCATTTCGACCTCAAGATTTATGGACATAAAAAAAAACGGATTTCAAGTCTTAGAAATAGTGCAATACATTTTCGGACCGTCAATTTTCAATTGTTCATAGATCTACTCGTTGTGCACCACTTTAAAGGTTTAAATTTTATAATTAGATATGAAAATAAAGTTAAAGGCCATTAGAAACATTTCCAGTATTGAAACAATATATTTCGAGATTATTTGAAGGTGCACTTTACTATACAAACCGCACCCTTAACGATGCTACTACTACTATACTAGTGATCATTTTGAAATAGTTATATAAGGGTGAGGACCTAAAGGCGCACCTCAAAAATACACTGCAAAAAGGGAAATTTTTTATAAGGTGTCAACCTTTTGGTAAGGTGCACCCAAAAAATTCCCCGAGAAGGATTTCTCTAGGAACTGGAACCCTCAAATCGAAAAAATTACCCCAGAAGGTTTTCTCTAGGAAGTAAAACCCTCAAATCGATCAGTGAGATCTTTTTTTTAACCTCGAGATTCATAGATACGAAAAAAAAGATACTTTTTTGGTCCTAAAAATAGTTCATCTTTTAACACATTATTTGGGCCGTCCAATTTCAAGATTTTCAACCATTTATAGATCTACTTTACCATCACTATTTTTGGAACTTTAAATGTCATAATTGGGGATGGCATGTCTCTTCATCACAAGACTTTGCAGCGTCAAAGTTGCATTTTCAGCATAGTTTTGAGGTGCACCTTATTTCAATAATATAGGGTTGACACCTTATACAAACCTCACCCCTACAAAAATCCTCAAATCCATCATCTTGACCTTATGATGTATGGACATGAGAAAAAATGGATTTCAAGTATTGGAAATAAGTCATCTTGTGATGCATTTTCTGGCCCATCAATTTTTAAGATTTTCAAGTGTTTGAAGATCTACTCGATCTACATTAGTTTTAAAACTTTAAATTTTATAATTAGAGCTGAAATAATTTTTCAGGCCACAATAAAGATTTTCAATATTGAAACAACATATTTTGACACTCTTTGAAGGTATGCCTTACTTTGATTGTTTAGGGCCTCGGCCTTACACAAACTACATCCTAAAAATAAACGGTCTCTTTGATATATTTTCTTTCCTAAAATATTCCATAGTATATAGATTTCTCTGCCCTATCCAAAACTCTTTATTTGTTTTTCTATAAAGTAAAAAAATATCCTACATCATGCCTTAAACTTCTCTATTAGAAGGTCATATGCCTATATCATCTCTAAAGATTGCGATAGTGTCCATCCAACTTAGTATAGATAATGCCTACTTTACCCTTTCTCCAAAGACATTTTATAGATGCCCTCTGCCTGGAGGTATGCATACCTCAATCATACACCGCAATGTTTTATCAAAATATGGAAGCCGAAGCGGGGTCAGTCAGTCATTTTAACAAGCCGTTTTGGCGATTCTGATCCGGGGGTCCTTGTTGTAACAAGCTGAATTGGCAATTTTGGGTTGGATTGACCCACTTGTATGGGTTGCAAAGAAAATAGAAAAAATGATATAAAATTATAAATATCAAGTAGTTTGTGTAAGAAAATTGGTGTCTTTATTATTATTATTTCGATGAAATTATAAAAAACAGCTAAATAATGAGAATCCGGTGGTTTGTTTTTCAGTGAGTCAATGGGGAGAGGGCCCCTACCTTTAGTAGGAATTGAGCCTAGGATGTAACGCTGCAAATGTTAAGCACTAACCAATTAAATTTTGACTGTGTTATCCTATCATTTCACAGCCTAGATTAAATTTTGACAATGACATCGATAGAAATAATAAAATTTTAAAAAGAGAAAAACTTATATAGAGCAGAGGCTCTAAACAATCAAATTAGAGCCTATCTCAAAATTTTCACTAGAAGAGGTTGTTTTGATGCTCAAATATCATCAAATTAATCATCTCAACATCAAGATGAATGGACTTCAAGTTTTGAAAATAATGTATTTTGTAACGTATTTTTGGACTGTCAATTTTCAAGATTTTTGAGTTTTCATAGATATGTCAATCTACACTATTTTTGAAGCTTTAAACTTTATAAATAAAATGAAAATATGTTTTAAGGCTATCATAAAGATCTCGAGTAGGCTCTAATTTGATTGTTTAAAGCCTAGGCTCTATACAAACCGCACGCTTTAAAAAATATTCCTATATAAGTTGAAACATATATTATAGTACTAAAAAGAGGCACAAAATGGTTCAAAGTCATTACCAATGTCATCCTGAACAACACGGTAGTGCTCAGCCCCACTTGGCTATTTGGGGTCCCCGTGTCACCATCACTATTTTACTGAGTTGCTTTAGAAGGAGCCTAGTCACCATCTCCTCCCTCATCTTGCTATATATGGGATTGTATACAGAGAGACCATTTACCTTTGGTATATGGAGGTTACATTTACTTATAATTATCCGATGTGAAATTTGATAGCTTAGGTGTGTTATAAAGTACAAGAAAATTTCTTTTGAACTTTGTGTTTGATCAATTAAATAAATGCAATCACCCAATTTCACATCCAATGATCAAGATTAATTGTGACCACCTTATATCAAAGGTAAATAGTCTCATTACATACTTTTCCAATATATCTCATCGCACATCTCCCCCGGGCTCTCAAATCATGGCCATCCCTTTAGTTGTTCAATACCTCATATTTGTTGGTTCACACTTTCTTTGTCTCAGTGCTCAAGGGACTTACTGTTTCTAGAAATGTCTACTTATCTAGTATTTGAACCTTTGTGTTTACTTATCACTTTTGAGCTAGATCCTCCAAAAATATAGGATTTAGGTTGATTTGGTTGTAGTCCTCATATTCCTTCTTTCATTTCTACTTTCGTTAGATCAAATACTAGTGGGTGTAGAACTCGAACTCAAGTTGAGTTCGGGGGCAATATGACATTGGAAGCTGGGAGGAAGCAAGTTTTCTTGATGCACTCAAAGGAAACCAAATTAACATAATTTTTTCACTTTTAAAGTGTAAATACATAGTACATGGATATATAGCTCTCTTAAGATTTATCTAGACTCTTTTTACCCATTTTGAGTGAAATTTTCCCTCTCTTAATGTACTCCTTGTTTCCTTAGACGAATTTACTTGAAAATACAAAAAAATTCTACACTTCACTCATCCAAATTCAGATTTGTATGCATTGCATGCTTTGGACTCCACACTCACAATCTCAAAATTTTGACCTTGGAACTCTACAGAATTGTAGTGCATCGTTCCAAAATTGACCTTCACCTAAGTTTTCCAAAACGTTCCTTACATTATTTTCAAATGCCCAAATTAATCTTAACCAAAATCGAGCTTATTTGTAACATATTGGACTTCGAACGGTAATATACCAAGTTGAAGAAGAAACATTGACAACAAGAACATCAAGAGAATGTACCATGATTAATTACGTGCACCATCACTAGTAAATCATAGAAAATAGATTCATCATTAAACTTTAAATGTTTGAAGTTTTAATTGGTCCAATTGGGTTAGCCATATGCGATCAATGATCCTCACAATGGACTCTAAATCCAATGAAAGCTAGTCTTTGAGATTGTGTGACTCTTTAGTGTGTATATGCGTGCGACCTCA